GATTTTGATTAATTCTATCCCCAAGGGGATAAAATAGGGGATGAAATTTTGTATGAAACTTTGTCAATGTCAAACCGATCGGGCTGAGACTTTACATGCATAAAGCTTCTATGACGTAGGCATCCCCTAAAAAAGGATTTTGATGAATTCCACCCTTAAAAGGATAAATTAACGCGAGCGAAACCGCGGGCAAAAGCTAGTGTATGATAAAATTAATTGCAAACATAGGTAATTAAGAACTACCACACAACTTAATCTGCATTATATTTTCGCCGTTTTACGCAACTTTTTTCATTACTGCTCCGATCCTATTGGTCATAGCGTGCTATATAATCTATAAGCCTTGATAAATGGACTTTCCAACAGTAGTTAGGAACAAAGTATCTTAAATTATCTAAATACTCATAACTATTTTATATCAAAGTCGATAAGTATTACTTTGGGAATTATTTATACTACTAAAATAATAGACAATCTAAGTACATCGATACCCGTTAGTTAGACTGATAGAAGACTGAGCATTGATTAACGATATTATCTACAAATATCGCCGATGATAAAATACTTTGCTTTGAAATATACCTAAGACCTTTGAGAAATTGTATACTAGTTATTCCGTAATGACTTAGATATTTGAGATGCGTAATCTTTCAATTTTATTGGTGTAAAGTCACTTTTAACTATTTTAAATACACTCGTGAATGGTTGCTGATTCTAGAGAAACTCAAGTATAGTACTTAATGGTCCACTCTTCTGAAATCGTGTGATTTGGTATTCAAATTCAAATTCAAATTTTTTCAAATTCAAAAATCATTTATTCGTGTAGGATATTTTAGCCGCTTATGAACGTCAAACTTTTACATTCTAATTTTATTTTTTTTTCCCTGCCGTCCAGTTCGGTATATAGATCCAATTGAGAAGAACTGGCAAGAAACTCAATTCAATTAATTTTTTTTTAAAGCCAATTTATTTACAATGTATATTTATATAGGTGTCTATGTCTAACATTAAATGAAAATTCAGTGCATGAACAACTACTGCCATGCACACTCGTCATTCAAGTAATCGTTGTAGTGAGTAATAGGCTTTGCTTAGTAAATATGATTTAACAGATGTTTTGAATTTATTTAAGGGTAATTCCAACATATCCGTTGGTATCTTATTGTAAATTTTTATACCTATTCCCATAAAAGACCAATTAACTTTTTCTAAACGATACTTGGGGACAGCAAGTTTGTCTTTAAATCTAGTATTAATATTATGAATATTGCTGTTTTTTGGAAATAAGTCAAGATTTTTATGAACATATAGGATATTTGAATGTATAAATTGAGAAGAAGAATTGAATTGTATGAATATAATCTACCTTAGATTATATTCATACAAAATCTTACAGAAGTTATAAGTACATTTGTTTAAAAGAGCAACAGGTCCAACCATCTACCAAATGAACGGTAGAATCAAGTAAATGTTGATTTAAAATGGCTTATATTATGTTTGTTTGAATGAAGATCGCTTGTATTTTAATTTATATGTCTTAAAATATAATATTTTCTATATACATACATATATTAATATTTTATTATAAAAGAAAATTATTAATATATAAAAACGAAATTAAATATGATTGAGTTCATTAATTTGATGTTGGGTTCGATAACTGGCGGTAAGTTTGCAAAGTGCTTTCCCCAATTCATGTCAGCTAAGTTATCTAAACATAATTTGCGCTTACTTTTAATATTAAATTAGGTCTCTGAAATATATCAACTTGTTTACATTATCAAATTGTAACAGTATGTTCGTTATGTAGAGTTTTATTATGTATTATGTATATATTATGTAGAATATGAAACGAGGATATTTCCTGCACTAAAGTGACCGACGTAGTTGGAAGTATTAGCAAGTTGGCCCGGCAAATTAACTCCACTTCCAGTACCAGGAAACATAAACAAATAAACGAAAGTTAACGAAGGGCGAATCACTGGATTAATTAATAGTAGTAGCTTATTACCACCGTTATTGTATCAGTATCATCGTATTTATATATAAAACTAGCTATTGCCGCGACTTCGTCAACATTATTTTACTATAATAAAAGATTTTTCTAAAATAAAAGTAGTCTAAGTGAATAATGTTATAACACTGATATTGTTATGCTATTATGCTAAAAAACTTTATTGCACCTAGTGATTAATTACTCAGACTTATAAGACCTTAAAAACGCGAGATCGAATCAAATTCTTAACCTGATCAACATCAAAAAACTTCATATCTCAATTCATGTCTAACTCACTTATTTGGAGAAATACTAATAACAATACGAGTCTAGGAGATACAGTATCTTGACCAATGTTTTCTCGGATTATAGTCATATCATGTGTATGATTATAATCCAACAAGTAAATAACGAAATATTGTTCGTTTCTATATATAAAACTAGCTGTTCCGGTGACTTCCTACGCCTGGAATTTTATATCATTTTTCTAAAATAAAAGTAGCCTATGTTACTCCTTTTTACTTCAGCTATCTACCAAAAAAGTCCCGTTAAAATCGGTCCAGCCGTTTCAGAGATTAGCCGGAACAAACAGACCGACAGACAGATAAAAATTGTAAAAAATGTTATTTTGGTGTATGTACTGTAATTATATTCATATGCAGGTAGTAAAAAATGGTTATTTCAATATTACAAACAGACACTCCGGTTTTATTTATATGTGTAGAGTATAGATTATCAAATATAAGTATTTAGTAATTAGGAAAAATCACGAAATCTTACCACGTTTAATTTATTTTTATTGAGTTCCCGATATTTCGCTAGTGTTTTAACCGGCATGCTCACGGATGTATCTGCATATTCATTGTCTAATCTAATAAATACAATTACTCGGCCAGTGTACAAGTCCATATGATTACATTATGTAAACATAGCTGTATGTAAAAGCTACCGCGACGCCTCAACCTGTAATTAAAGTTACATTTGGATGTAACTTTATCGTTGAGAGAGACAAATTGCTCACCACTCGAAATAAAGTAAAAACTTTTCCACTGAATTTAAGCGATTTTCTGTAGAACTCCCAATTTAGTTACGTCAAATGTTGCGACGTTTTACTGTCTTTTAGTAGTAAATGGGTATTTTGTGCCAAATTACCTACTGCTGGCCGTGGCTACGAGATTTTTTTTATGAAAGAAATTAATTACTAGAAACTTAACTGTAACTACAATTTTGAATACCGGATTCTGAAATTGTAAATGTTTGTAACAACGGTTTTTCTCTCATTTATAAACGAGATAAACCGTTGTTACAATCATTTACAATTTCAATATTTAGTGATAGTTATTGTTTTAATAAAATTTAATGTACAGTTTAAAGTTTGTATTAAATAGGAGTTCGAAAAAGGACTTTAATTAAATCCATGTTTAACTATAGTTTTCATTAGCAGTTAACATTTTCTCCCTGGAATACTGATTCCAGTGTAATAATTGACTCATAATGTTGCCATTTAACTGGAAGTTAGAGAACAAAAGGGACCAAAGTTCGATAAAACAAATATTAACTTATATATAAAATTCTCGTGTCACAATGTTAGTTACCATACTCATCCGAAACGGCTTGACCGATTATTTGATAAAGAAATTGCATATTCATATTCAGTAGGTCTGAGAATCGGCCACTATCTATTTTTCATACCCCTAAGTGTTAAAGGTAACTCACCCCAAAAAGAATTATTCAATTTTTTCGACCTAATATTTTATTTTCATTTTATTATTATTTAGGATTAAAAAATACATTTTCACCCTTCTTTTCTACATTTTCAATTTGTTTATAGCGACTTTAATGTATATAGCAAAACAACGTTTGGCAGGTCAACTAGTAATTTGTGATTTCTGACAAAACATCAATGGTATTTAAATGATACCACATATATTCTAATACATAAAGGTTTAATTGCAATAGTAAAAAACCTAATATTTTGTGAGTTTATTGTATAAAAATTTAGAAATATTACAGTACAAAAACTTTTCTTCATATGATATCACTATATCGTAGTTTAAATCCACAAACCTGTAGAAGCTTACTTATTTCTTTTCGTATATGTTTCATTATTAATATACAACCGTTATTTTATTATTAATAGACGGCCTCAGTGGTGTAGCGGCTTAGCACACAGACTTACTTCCGATGGTCGCGGTTTCGATTCCTCGCACGGTACAAACATTTGTATTCATGAGTACGATTGTTTGTATCGGCTTGGGCGTTCTGTATGTTTATTATGTTTGTATTTAGAAAAAAAAATATCCAAGTATTTATATTAGTTTTCTAATACTTATAATACAAGCTCTGCTTACCGTGGGACCAGATGGCGCTGTGGTAATTGTCTAGGGTTATTTTTTTAGTATTTATTTATGTACAACCGTCCAATTATTTTATGTAAAAATATGACTGAGTAATTGTCTAGACGTAGCGTCAAATATGAAAAAAGTGAGCTACATGTTTCAAGAAAAGGTCCAACTGTATCTATTTATATTCCTCTAGGAGTTCAGAATATGAAAAATATATATTTATAGGTTCTCGAGTAAAAAAATTAGTAGAGCTTCTCCATTGGGAATGGTTCTCGTTATTTGAGATTAGGCCCGCTGCAATCTCGAACTCTTCGTTGACTTGAATAGGCATTACATGAGATCATATCTCACTGAAAACAGAAAAGATAGACAACAACGTGGCATATTCATTTCGCTTATTTAGCATCTAGTACTGACTTACTGAATCATTTGCAAGTATTTTTTGGAAATTTTTGGAAATAACAAAGTTCATATGAGTAATATTTATGATTAGAGTAATTTAGATTTATATAAATATAAAATATGTAAGTGCGTAATTAATTTAGATGCCAAGACGGAGATTGTAGTCCTGAGCTCCTAATAAATAAAGAAAAAAGTTAGTATAGATTAATTATTATGTGATTGTATTAATTTTAAAGAAATTTCTCGTTTCTTTACAGGACGATTGGATTTCATTGAGTGGAAAAATTGATGTAGAGAGTACCGATGTTTAAACGGAGCTACAAGGCCCGTTGCATTGTAGTCCTGAAAGCTAAAGTCTGGAACCGAGTGCCCATGAAGTTGTTAAAGTGGAGCAGAAAGATGTCTTCGACCAAAAAATACAACTTGGTGCCGAACGACGAATATGATACGAGAATACCGTTGCATCCTGACGAGGCGTTCCACTATGGGATTAGTTTCCAAGCTAAGGTAAGTCTTATTTTTTTTTAATCTACAGTGGTGACACATTTGACGGTAAACGTTATTAGTGAACTTGAAACACCAGAGCTGTCACGTGACCTTTATGAATTCACCTTGATCCTCCCAATGCTGTAGTCTCTAGGGAAAACCACGGCAGGTAGTTCATTTGACTATTTCTGATATGTAGGATTAAGACGCTATAATATTGGTTATTAATGTGATAGAGCATCTTATTTTACATGTAAAAATCAAATAATATGAATAATAAGACTTCGCATTTTAAGAAATCTCTCAGAAATGATGTAAACTATACGCCCTTAACGAGAATGGGTCGACTTAACCGGTAACCTAGTATTTATGTCTTTTCTTATATATATATATATATATGTTCATATAAAATTTATCAAATTTGATGTTTGTACAAAAATTTCAGACGTCAGCATCACAGTGTACATTCGTACAGGTTTCTCGTTTATATGTCATGCTCAGATCGTAGGATTATTCATATCTAAAGTGTAACAATTAGTTTTCTTTAATACATAAATAACATGATTAAGATCTTATAACCTACATACATGTGCAACTAATTTTTTGATCATATTGTGAAATAGTTTTATTATTAATACACGATTATTTTTTTTAATCTACGAATCCAATATAAGCCGTGCATCGCACTTTTAAAAATATTACTCAGGTCAATACTTCATTAGAAAAAGTCTAAATTATATACAGTGTCGTATTTCGTTTACTTTTGTTCATCTAAGTACAATCATTAGACTCATTATAAATGATCTTTAATTTCATTATTCATATTTCCATAAATGCTTACATTACTAGTATAGGACAAATAAATAGACATACTCTGAATAATAAATCTTATGACATTAGTTGACTGTACCGGCCTGCTTTAGTTGACTAGTTATTTGTTTTATACTATTTACATAGTATAAAACAAAGTCGGCGCCGCTGGCTGTTCGCTTATATCTTTTATATCACGCAACGGATTCTAATGCAGTTTCCAACAATAGAGAGAGTGATTCAAGAGGAAGGTTTATATGTATAATACATATGTGTTATTGTATAGAATAAGCCGAGAAATTCAAAGATGTGTAATACATCCATGCGAAGGCAGGACGGGTAAGTATTTTTTATACTACTATGGTGACAGACAAGCATACGGCCCATCTGATAGTAAATGGTTACTGTAGCCTATGGACGCCTGAAACTGTAATATATGGCGGTATTTCACGAAGCTGATGACTATATAATTTGATTAATTCTATGTTCTGACCACGACATATAAACGTTGAGTGTCACTTAAGTGTCGCTTCGTCACTATAAATAGATTGTATTTGCAAGTGTCTAACATACATGCTAGAGTTTCACATACGAGATGTGACCATACGTACAGCTTTAAGCAGGACAGTCCTCGAGAATAAATTCGAGATAGTTTCTCCAATTTCTGCTCGAGGACGGTCCCGCTGAACGCCGTGGGTATGGCCACGGAAGCCGGACGAAGTTTAATTTTTGTCTTTAGAAAGACTATGTAACTAAAAGATACAATTATTATAAGTAAAATATGCAAGAACAGTGCCTTGCGGTCTAAAAAATATTTGAATACAATAGTGGAACAACTCAAAAACAGGAGCAACATGCAAGTTTCTATCTTATTCATTCTTCTTGTGAAGAGACAGGTTTCCGAATGAGCAGTAAATTAAAAGAAGGATATAGATATCCTTTTTTTAATGTACTACTACGACTATTCCAAAGTGTTAAAATTAAGTTGATTTCAATAAATAATTATCTAATAATTTAAATATATTCGAATTAAATTAATAAATAACAAAAGATAAAATAAAATATATTTTGAATGCAGCGCATTCTTATGACAGTGTAGGTTAAAAGTGTTAATAATTAACGAGCGTAAGTGGCTTAAAATGTTTCATTAGAATATACTTTTCACTATTCAAGAACAATATTATTATATTGATTAGTCCCAGTTTCACAAGAAAATAAATGGTTACTATACATATAAGTGTAGAGAGGTTATTTCTCATTGCTCATCCTGCTTTATAGACTGGAGTCTATCACAGGAACGATAAACCAATATTGCATGGCAACTTCTAAGATGCTACGATCAATTTAATGTACACATTGACACCTTAAGCTCTATAAAATAACCTTTGAAAATGATATTCAAAGTATAGTAAGAACTTTGAATATCGTGTTTAGTAAAGTTTACAGATTTTTAGTCATTTGCAATTGTATAGTATATATGTATATAATATGCGACTAAACGAAAGGATCTTCATGAAATTTGACATGAATATAGTTGTCTCAAGAAATAATCTTGAAGGTGGTATAAAAGTATCATTATTAAGGCTAGAAGCATAAAACTTATTTTTAGACTGTTGATTACATATGACATTCAAAGTTTGTATAAATGTTATGGTTTTAAACGGGTTAAATTATATTAGGTATGAATGTTGTATAAAAATTTACACCATTTGAAAATAGAACTATGAAACTTTCTTCTTTAGATTTTTGGTTTAGATTATTAGATATTTTTTTCCTTATGTGATCAACTTCAATACTCCACGTGGATAAAGCTAGTCATATATATGTCTAGTTTTTTTTTTTATAACATAGGCGACAAACGAGCTTGCGGCTCTCCTGATGGTAAGTGATTACCGCCGCCCATGAGCACCCGCAACACCAGGAGAATTGCAAGTACGTTGTCGGCCTTTTAAAAAGGAATAAGCTCTTTTCAATATCGTATCGGTTCGGAAATACCATTGCTGGAAGGTGATTCCACAATGTGGTTGTGCGGGGCAAAAAGTAGAAAACCGCACTGTGGAAGATCGCCATTCATCCAGATGATCAGGATGGTATTTCAGTTTCTGGCGGGTGGTACGGTGGTGAAACTCCGCAGTTGGTATTAATCCGAACAATTCCTCAGAACACTCCCCGTGATATATGCGGTAGAAAATGCACAGAGATGCAATATCACGCCGCAAAGCCAATGGGTCGAGTCTGTCACATAGACGTTGATTACCAATGATTCTGGCTGCTCGGTTCTGAATGCGGTCAAATGGAAGTAGCTGGTATTGTGGTGCTCCCGCCCAGAGATGAGAACAATATTCCATGTGCGGCTGGATCTGGGCCTTGTATAATTGCAAGCGATGGGCCGCCGTGAAATACCGTCCCACTCTACTGAGCACACCAAGCTTTTTTGAGGCTATTTTAGCCTTGTCCTCCAAATGACCGCAAAACTGAACGTCACTGGATATATCGACGCCAAGGACCTCGAGATTTGGCTTCACATCAAGGAGAGTGTCTTGAAACTGAGGAGATACGATAAATGGATTCTTAGCGGTAAACGCGCAAACTAGTTTTAAAGTACTCCTGTATTGCCTAGTAAATAAGTGTTCTTTGTGTAGGTGTAGGGTATAAGTAAATTAAGGTAACAAGCCTGGAATTTAATATCCGAGGATAGTTGTTATTATTTAAAAAAAAAACGTTGAATTTCATAATGAATAAAAGCACTGTGCACATATTTGACCAACCAACGGACTGTAATAAACTTACCACAAGCAAATATTACGCGGAGCATTATTATAGTTGAAATTTAATTTCCTACCAATCCGATGGAATCAATGATAATTTCCACCGTTAAATACTTGGGCCGTTTTTCAATTAATACGAATCGTGTAACTCAATTAATGAATACCTCACGTTCGAACAATTCGGGCCGCGAATTCTATGAGACTATACACCATTGAAATTGATTTTTAATACGATATTTTAATCACTTTTGTGGTATATCTCTTTCACAGACTTTTCTGGCCTTTTTTATAGTCAGGTGTTCGATCCTCGTACAGCGTATGATTTTATTCATGTGTATGAGTATTTCTATTCATTTGGATTCATATATTTGTACGCTTGTACGTGTATTGTGAGTGAAGTGAACTGAAAATCAGCACAGCAGTACTTCACCAGAAACCCTTTCAGCTTGTATTTTCTATTATCCGCACTGTACTAATGCTATGCTGAATAAACGACGATTATTAGAAATGTTTCTAGCAGTTATTCAGAAGAATTATTTTATTTATTTAATCTTTATTGGACAAAAAAGCTTTTGTACAACAGGCGAAAAGTACATAATGTACATAAATTACATTTAATAGATAATAATAAATTCTACGACAATCTGCTGTAAGGAAATGTGGTAGACCAACGAGGCCATCAATAATAACTAGTACAATTGACACAACGCCATTAGCCCCAATTTAAGCAGATTTCATTGATTTTATTTACCTATTACCAATACAAGCATATTATGGGGTAATAGATGACTGATATCAATGAATCTTTACATACACATCATACAACGGTTGTTTGTGGAAAATAGAGTCAAATTTGAAATGAAATGAATATTTATTGCTTAAAAATGTGGTACATCTGTGGTTGTAAAGATCTATTAGTCTAAAAAAAGTCTATTAGTTTCACACATTTTGTCATTTCGACATGCAACAAACAAAACAAATGTCAATTTTGGTTATTCTTTTAATTACAGTGCTATTATTTATATGTCAATTACTCATTAATGAAATATTTATAAATTTTGTACATTACGTAGTCTAATTATGTAAAGTCTACCTATGTATTTATATTACATTACACTGCATCCTGTGAAGACGGAAGCGGAACCGTGGGAAACCTCCAGCAAGGTGGACGGACGATCTGGTCAAGATCGCTGGAAAGCATTGGATGCGAGCAGCGCAGGACCGATCGTCGTGGAGATCTTTGGGGGAGGCCTATGTCCAGCAGTGGACGTCTTCCGGGCTGCGATGATGATGGATGATGATGATACTGCATCCTTACAAATTTTCGTATTAGAAACGAGTATGACAAAGTAGGATGCTGATACTGTAGTGTTGTGTACACGATAATAGCAGGAGAATGAAACAAAACATCCAAACAATTGGAATCTGCAGCATCATTTGTAC